AGCTTTGGCACCGTCATCATCGTCATCATGATTGTCATCATCATCTCTTTCTTCTATACATTTCAAATGTGGCGCTAGGCACCCTTGGTAATGCAAAGGGTGCTACCATGATAGTTGTCATAACCGTCATCCGCAGCTCTGGTAATGCAGAGGATGCTACGATGATAGCTATCATAAGATTCATCATCCTTATCACCTTCATGATGATTGTCATCATAGTTATCACCGTCATCATCGTCATTATGATTGTCATCATAGTTCTCACCATCATTTTCGTCATCATCATTGTCATCATCATCTCTTTCTTCTACTTCTATAGTCATCATCGTCATCATGGTTTCAATTATGGCGTTAGGCACCCTTGGTAATGCAGAGGGTGCTACGATGATAGTTACCATGACAGTTATCCGTAGCTTTGGTAATGCAGGGGATGCCGCGATGATAGTTATCATAAGAGTCATCATCCTTATCATCTTCATGATGATTGTCATCACAGTCATTGCCTTCATCATCGTCATCGTGATTGTTATCCTTATTATCGTTATCCGTATGATCATCATGATCTCTGCTTCTGCAGCATTGGTAATGCAGGGGGTGCTACGATGATAGTTATCATGACAGTCATCGGCAGCTTTGGTAATGCAGAGGATGCTGCGGTGATACGTGTGTCTGTAACAAAAACTGTGCCTGTAACCATATAATCATATATTATATTATATCGAATATGTATCAAAATGGGTGCTGCCACGTCTGGAAACAGAAAACACGTACTTTAGGCCGAAAGGCGCTTCCCAAAAGATGGGTGCTGCCACATGTCGAAAAAACACTTGCTACTACCACGTCTTCAAAAAACACTGACATGAGTTAAGCCGAAAGGCGCTTCCCAAAACATGGATACTGCCACATGTCGACAGAAAAAAACAGCTGCTACTACCACGTCTTTAAAAAACACTAACCTGTCTTAAGCCGAAAGGCGCTTCCCAAAAAAAGGGGTGCTGCCGCGCTTCGAAAAAGAAACAGCACAAACCGGCCGCGTAGACTCAGGCCACTTTTAGCACAGAGCATTCGCTCTTCCGATCGGCTTGCAGTCACAAGCCAGCCGCGTAGACTCAGGCAACTTTTAGCACAGAGCGTTTCCTCTTCCGATCCGCTCGCAGTCACAAGCCAGCCGCGTAGACTCAGGCAACTTTAGCACAGAGCATTCGCTCTTCCGATCGGCTTGCAGTCACAAGCCAGCCGCGTAGAAGGCAACTTTGAGCACAGAGCATTCCCTCTTCCGATCAGCTTGCAGTCACAAGCCAGCCGCGTAGACTCAAGCAACTTTTAGCACAGAGCGTTCCCTCTTCCGATCATAACACAAAATTCCCTCTTCCGATCAGCTTGCAGTCACAAGCCAGCCGTAGACACAGGCAACTTTTAGCACAGAGCATTTCCTCTTCCGATCAGCTTGCAGTCACAGGCCAGCCGTGTAGACCCAGACAACTTTTAGCACAGAGCATTCCCTCTTCCGACCAGCTTGCAGTCACAAGCCAGCCGCGTAGACTCGGGCAACTTTTAGCACAGAGCATCCATTTTCCGATCAGCTTGCAGTCACAAGCCAGCCGCGTAGACTCGGGCAACTTTTAGCACAGAGCATTCACTCTTCCGATCGGCTTGCAGTCACAAAGCCAGCCGCGTAGACTCCGGCAACTTTTAGCACAGAGCGTTTCCTCTTCCGATCAACTTGCAGGCACAAGCCAGCCGCGTAGACTCAGGCAACTTTTAGCACAGAGCATTTCCTCTTCCGATTCGCTCGCAGTCACACGCCAGCCGCGTAGACTCAGGCAACTTTTAGCACAGAGCATTCGCTCTTCCGATCGGCTTGCAGTCACAAGCCAGCCGCGTAGACTCGGGCAACTTTTAGCACAGAGCATTCGCTCTTCCGATCGGCTTGCAGTCACAAGCCAGCCGCGTAGACTCAGGCAACTTTTAGCACAGAGCATTCCCTCTTCCGATCCGCTTGCACCTCGTCGCTGCACGGGATGGCGCGGTCGAAACATCTCTTTCGGGAAATCGCCCACACGGTGGCATGTTATACTCATGCCCTTTCAGGTCGGAAGACTCCCTAGTCTTTAGTCCCGTAGAAAACGCATCTGGGCTTGGGAAAGGGATTTGCTTCAAGCCACGGCAGGCGAACCAAGCTGAAAACTCGCCAGGTGCCTTTCCACCCCCCAAGGGGTCGGCGGCACAGGGCGACAGCCCATAAATAATTAATAATTTTCTTCTGTCTTTGAATTACATTTTCTAAATCACTTGGATTATAACTATCAAAATAAATTTGTTCTTTTTCATCATCCACGTGCAATTCATCCCTGATATATTTTTTAACTTCTGTAAATGTAGGGTCGTTATGGCCGCTGGGTGAATATATATATATATATATTCTTGCAAATGAATTTCTATAAACATTCAAGATAAGGTTCTGAACCAAGACTGTTTTGCCTCCTGTCGAACTTGCAACTATAATACTTCTAAATGGTAATTTTGGCACGTGCTCATATTTGGATTGCTTGAATTCATATTCAGTTATGTTTATTGGTTTTATTATTGGAACATCTGTCATAGTTGATATTTAAAGCTATATAGAAAATTATATTTAACAATTAACTTGTAATTAATATTACATGGAACGTCATTTTTATGATATGCTGGTGGCGAATATCATAAAAATGGAACAGGCTTTCCATTTCTTCAACCAATAAGCATTGAAGCTAATTAGTTTGATGCATGGCAATGAAAACCCCACGTGCTGTGCCCCACCAATATTCTATTATGCGTGAAATAATAAGATTAATTAGAATAATTTATCATTTAATATGGATAGAAGATATTCAGAATATATTAATATAATAGATGAAATAGAAAATATAGAACAAGTAATAATAACTGATAATAATATAAAAAATGCTGTTATTATTCATTAGAAATAATTAAGTTTGCGATACAATATATCAAAAATAAAAATGTAAATCTTAATATAAATGGTAAAAAAGAAAAAGAAAAACAAAAATAAGACAGGTATAAGTGTTTCTTCAACAGATGAAGATAGCGGAGAAATTGTTAAAGAAACATCAGTTATTGAGTTTTCTTGTCCGATGTGTAAAAGGATGTTAGAGATGAAGAATGAATTAGAAATAAAAAATAATAGAAAATGTAAATGTTCATGTGTTCCAACAAGTTTCAAAATAAGTAAAAATGATAAGAACATGAATATTGAATAAACTAAAGACAGTATCAACATAGAAACTGATGTCCATAATATAACTTTTAAATGGGGTAGGCAAGCAACACCATCCGATAATAATGAAACAAAACGCAGGAAACTGTTAAACAAATGTTGAAAAATAGTATTTAAAGAGTAAATTTAACATAACTGCACTTTATAAATATATAATTAAATAAATAATTATATAAATAAATATAAAGAAATGTCTGGAAATGAGAATTATACTATTAATGCTTTAATGAAGAAGATAACATTAATTGGTAAAAAACAAAACCTTAAATGATATGATTAAATCCATTGATGAAAACTTAAACCAGTTGAACGCGAACAACAAAGGAAAAGATTGAGAACATATTTGAAAGCCGTGGCTTGGGTCGTCCGCAGGGCAGTTATGAAACAAAACAGAAGAAATACTGTGAAATGTTGAATAGTAATAAAATCAAACAACCAAAGCAACAAACATTAGAGTTTGATAAAATAAAAAAAATCATGATGGAGTATATGTATTAGTTGAATAATTAAATCTAAGTAACTCTAATAAGATGAATTTATTAGAACTATTTAGCAAGAAGACCTAGATAAAATACCTAGTGGTTTGATATTGGACACTTTGATGAGTTTGACGGATTAAGGATTTTGAGTTTGGAGTTGGAAGTATCAGGTGTGCGATACTGGTAGTATCAATTGAACGATACTGGTAGTATCATTTGAACGATACTGGTGGTATCATTTGAACGATACTGGTGGTATCATTTGAACGATACTGGTGGTATCATTGGAACGATACTGGTAGTATCATTTGAACAATACTGGTAGTATCATTTGAACAATACTGGTAGCAGTATATAGCTTTACCATACTATGATTATAACATTTATACCCTTATATGTTATAATTATAATGTAAGTATAGCGTTTTATATATTGAAGATAAAATCCTACAAGGAGGACCACGCCTATTAAAATATATGATAAAAGTGATGAAACAAAGGAGGGGAGGTGTTTCATAAAATAAACATTTTATGCCCTAACATATGTAAAGAAAAAAGGGGCATTATACGGCAATGGAAAGCGAACTGAAAAGATGCCCGAGATGTAGGACAATATGATAATAAGTGAGTTCAAAGAGGGTAACATATCATGCGACAAATGTTTAGCTCAAAAACGAGAGGCAAGCAAAAAAGAAACAGAATGCGAAGTGTGTAAATGCATGATAAAAAATGCGAGGAAAGCAAAACACGAAGAAACGCTGAAGCACTTACGAAATCTTAAGGCACGAGAGGAAGAATTACACCCTGTAAAAACGATTGAGTGGCCATATGTAAAAAAACATTAGAGAAGACTTATATAAAAGTCATCTAAAATCATTTATGCATAGACAAATGAAAAATGATGTAGAAAAATCGTGCTTTGATTTAGTAGAAAAATAGGTTCTGCCCGAGGGGGGTGAAGTTGTTTGTGCATTGAAAACGTGAAAAAAACCTAGGGTGGGGGCTGGACTTTTGAAGCAGTTTATTGCTAGGCGTGGCGCTCCACTACTTACTTGGGGTTGCAAAATGTGGGAACGCGTGACTGACAACAGAGACTTTTGAAGCTGCGCTCATCCATGGCAAGGCAAGGGCAGGGGTTTGAGCAAAGAAAAACTTGTTGGCCCCACAAGACCTGCGGCTAGATTCGGCCCACATTCAGGCCAACAATTGCGTCATCTCAGCCCCAGCACTCTTGCGCCAAGGCACCGGGGGCAGCGGATAGTGCCTCAGCAAGCCATGTCTCTTGCAAACTGCATTTTAGAGACACGTGTCACTGACACCCTGCGCGTCGCCGATCTCCAGGATGAATGGTTTGGATTTTCCGGAACACCCTCGTTTCATGAACTAGCTCGCTTGTGCATCAGCCCCCCAGCCTGCCCGAACGGCCCAGTCGTCCCCCTGCTTGCTGGCGCAGGCGCCGGATCATTGCCATGTTGCCGAAAGCTTGACTCGAAACGGCTGCCAAGCGGAAAAGAACGTTTCAGAACGCGGCAACGTCACGCGTTGCACACGCAACATAGCTTGAAACACATGTGCGCGCTGGACACGCTTCATGACTGGACTGAAATGTCACACGCTACATGTTTGTTCGTCCAGGCCGAACAACATAGATACTCGTCCCAATCGTGAAAACTGGCAAGCCACATACACAAATACACCTTCAAACGCTCAGGCTGCTTGCGAGGAACAAGGCAGGAAGTCAACTCGTCCCTGCGCGCCCCCTTGGAGCCCGCGCTTGGCCAGCATGCCCTGCGACCATGGCGCAGGCACCAACGCCGGCCTTGGGCCGGCGCTAGCCAGGTGACGAGAGTCCGCAAACTGCCCAAGCCAAAGCTTATTGTCACCGGCTAGCTAAACAGCGCTTCGCGTCAATGGCCCAGCCTATGTCAATGCTCCACGCCTATAAGCGTCAACGAGAGTGTCGGCATGTTGCCATAGGCTCCGGCGCAAGCAGGTGGCTCACATCCTTACCCGTGTCCACAAAGTACCTGCGCCACACATGAGGCGCCAAGCGTCTTTGAGAGAGCATGTGCACAGTGGCGCACTTTCGTAGCCGAGCTTTCTCTTTTTGGTCGATATTACTGGCACGCTCGGGCGACGAGTAACTGTGCTGCGCAAAGGGCTAGAGGGGCGCGGCTGCCTTGCTTCAGTCGCTTGGCGTAACAAGCCAGAGCAGCAACAGCACATCCTCCGCGAGCCGCTTGCCATCGATATTCCTGAGAGTCAAGGGCCGGCCACGTGCACAAACCCACGCAAACACACTCATGACCATTGTCCCGAAGTTAGAGACTTTCTGCCAACGCTGAAATTCCGACAAGTCATTACCCTGCAAGGAGGAAGATTACGACCTGTCCTGCAACTCAATCTGGGTTGCTGTTAAGGAAATTGTTATATTTATTTGCACTCGTCAACACCTTGTAAAAACTCATCATTATGTTGCCACCGAACCGCAGTTGGGGCAGCGCGCTTCTACTCCTACGGCTGGCCCACGGCGACAGGGGTTTTGCATGTAGCTTTTCAACCTTAAGTCCACTGGCGGTTGATTGAATCGCCCTCCGTGACTTTGACTCTAGGTGTTCAAGGTTCACTTGTGGGCAGCCAAAGGGCCGCAGACACACCTTGTCACACGTGGTTTCTGTAGGTTTGTGCCAGATCTTTGCCCCGCGAGTTAAGAAATACAAGCTCGCATCTCTACTTGCCTGTGCGAAGTACGCTAGCAACGTTTCTTGAGGCGCTTGTGTCGTTCTTGTCCTGCCCAACACGCCGGCGGCATGGCAACTGAGGAGTTAACCAATGAGTGCGCTACGTGTCTTGGGGGTGGGTGGGTGGGTGAAGGTTGGGGGTAAGTCGAAAAACGACTGGTTTGCAGAGCAGTGTTTTGCATTTTTGTGCAAAACACCATCATCAGATAGCGCCCAACGTCGAGTTTGATTGATTTTTGTGGGTTTGTCATTCTAGCAGTTTTCGAGCAGTGAGCGCCTGTTGCAAATGACGCGCTGGTAATGTCGTGTGTGCTGGTGATGCTGTGGGGTATTGGCTGGAGATGCTGGCTGGCGATGCTGGGGATGCGGGGCTAGCGATGTCATAAGCATTTGTGGCAGGCAGTTTTGTGTGGGCATGCATTAAGCCTTGCCTGTAGCAGTAACTCTTTACCACCAGTTTACCTCAAATTTCACCCCAATTGTGTGGGCTATTTACCCCCAATTTTGTCCAATTTTGTTGGTTAGTTACCTCCAATTTTGTTGGTTATTTACCCCTAATTTTGTCGGTAATTTACCCACAATTGTGTGGGTTATTTGCCCACAATTTTGTCCAATTTTGTTGGTTATTTACCCCCAATTTTGTTGGTTATGTACCCCCAATTTTGTCGGTAATTTACCACCAATTGTGTGGGTTATTTACCCCCAATCGTGTGGGCAATTTAACCCCCCAATTTTGGAAATTTGGGGGTTAATAACGAGTCCAATAATTGGGGGTAAATCTTCGTATACCGTTGGGAAACCTGGGATTTACCCCCAATTTTTGGACTTGTTATTAACCCCCAAATTTCCAAAATTGGGGGTTAATAACGAGTCCCAAAGTTGGGATAAATTGCCAAAATTGGGGGTAAATTACCAACAAAATTGGGGGTAAATTACCAACAAAATTGAGGGTAAATAACCCACACAATTGGGGGTAAAAAACCGACAAAATTGGTGGCAAATAACCAACAAAATTGGGGGTAAATAACCAACAAAATTGGACAAAATTGGGGGTAAATAACCCACAAAATTGGGGGTGAACGTTCCGCAAAATTAGAGTAAATGTTGCCGAGTCGGAAAGCCTGTGCAGCCCCTCCTTGCCCGCGTAAAGAAGGCATGCAATTTATTGATAGAGGCAAGCCCTAAGGTATGCATCTAGGAGAGTGTTCGAAGTGCATACAAAAGGCATGCAAAATGAATGCACCATTGAGTGTGCATGGTGTATGCATGTTTGGCTCTAGCTGTGAGAATTTATCCGCTTTCAGACAACATTCCGTATGCGCCTGGAATGCATGTTTGCATTTTGGGCACAACGCAGGACAGGCAGGCAACATGCGTGCTGCGTTTGTGTGTGTGTGAGCGTTTTTCGTAATGTATTGTTTGTTTGCGTTTGATTGCATGTTTACGCATTTCGCATGTGTTCGGGGAATTCTTCAAAATGCATACAAAAGGCACGCGCAGTGAATGCACCTTTTTTGCGCGCATGTGGTTTGAATGTTTGTATGCGCTTGGTATGCCTCCAAACTGCATCTTGTTTGCATTTGTACACATTACACACGACGAATGTTTGTTTGCATTCTTGACATTGGCTTGAACCCCTTCCAAACGCATTCAACATACCTACAAGCAGAAGACACCAAGAACACAGCATGCAGTTTTGTGAATGTTGTATGGCTTGTTCTTCTGCGTTTGTATGCGTTGTCTCTGCATGTTGTATGCAGTTATGCAGTTTGGCAACTATGCCAAAAAACTGTTGGCCCTGGCTGTTTGCATTGTGGGGTCTGGCATTGCTGCCTTGCGACTACATTCTGTATGCACTTTGTTTGCCTTCCAACTGCATGTCGTTGGCTTTTTGTATGTGTTACGCAGGACAGGCGCAGAAGCATCCCGCGCATGCTGCATGCATTTGGCCTGCGGTATGCGTTTTCTATGCGTATTGTTTTTGGGATTGAGTCCCTTCCAAATCCATACGCCGCGCGCGCAACATGCGTACAAAAGGCAAACGACAAGCACGCAGCACGCAGCTTATTTTCTGCGTTTCTGCTGCTGCGTCTGCAAGACTGCTGGCTAATTGATCCCTGGTATGTGGACAGTTTGCTGGTGGTGGCTTCACAGGCTCTCACAGGCAATCCCAGTGTGTCGGTCGTGCTTGAGATTTCATTGCAGCCTGATTGTTGACCATTCAATTTTGGTTTGTTGAACACCGAGCACGATCTTCTTCACGCGACTTGGTTTTCTTACTGGGAAGCAGACAGACGCTCATTGAGGCAATCAGTTGGGGCTGCTTTGCTGGTGTTTGCTGGCAGAATCTTTTCGCGCTGAGTTTGGCCGGCGCAATGAAGAGGAGCTTACGTAGATTCAATGCGATGGGGCGCTGGGATTCACTCCTGGCTCACGACCACGTGGACCCCATGGCATGTCTGTTTTTTCTCAGAGGCCAGGGATTCTCATCTCTGCATTTTCGGCGAGCGCATGAAGACACTGTGCCGCTTGCGAACATGTACACGAACTTGGAATGGCTGAAGCTGTGAAGAAAGATGCGAGCAAGCAGAAGATGTAGACCTGTCAAGTTCCCGGCCAACCCACCCCCCCGTGGACCCTACATGTTGCACGCGCCTTGTGTGCCTTCAAATTGGATTTTTGCATTTTTGCGGGACGGGTGCATTTCGTGTATGGTGCATCCTTTCATTTGCAGTTGTATTGGTTTTGTATTTGGATGCCTTCCACACACATACAACAGGCACGCAGTTTTGAGTGGATGTTGTATGCGTGTCTGGTTTTGGCGTGGCACGCGCTTTACGTGGCAACACGCCTTCAATAGGCATAAACTGGGTAAACAACAAGCGTGCAACATCCATTTATAGTTCATTTATTTGCTGTATACCTTTGTGCGCGAACTGTGCTAATTTCATGCATTGTGGGCATACGAAACGCATACAAAAATATACAACATTCGCGCGCATATTTACTCTACTTTGCGTGCTCTGGCTGTATACATATTTAACTCTGGCATGGCTACCTTCAGACAACATTTGGTATGCGCTTTGTATGCCTTCTGCCTGCTTTTTGTTTGCATTGTTTGCGTTACGCAGGACAGGTGCATTTCACGCATGGTGCATGCGTTTTGTCTAAATATTGTATTTGGACGCCTTCCGCACGCATACAAAATGCGTACGGAATGCATGCAAAGGCATACACAATGCATGCTGCATTCTTGAGCCATTTGTACTTTGAAACTTCATATTATATTCGTGTTGCGTGATGTTGAACGTATTTTGCGAGACAGGTGCATGCATGGCGCACTTACTTGTTCATGTGTTATGTACGCAGTTTGTATGCATATTGGGTGCATTGTTGGGGTTTCTTCCAAACGCATACGCAATGCGTACACAATGCATGCAAAAGGCATGCTGTGTGCGAATTGTTTGCATTGGTGGCTCTGGCGCAGCATACATTTTTGTGCGCGCGTCATATGCATGTTTGGCTCTGGCGTTGCTACCTTCCCAACCCGCAAAAAAAACTTCAGAGAACGCAAACTTTTGCATAACACTGCGCGCACACACACACATGAGACACGGGCAATTTTTTGGCATGGTGCATGTAATATGTATGCCTGTTGTAAGCATATTGTTTGCATATTGCGTGCATGTTTGGAATTGGCCTGGTGTCCCCTGCTTTCCCTCGCACCGATACTACCACAAATCAAGGCAGCCGTTTTTCCGTTGTCGTCTTGCTGGTTCGCAGCTTGCGTGCGCTTGACTTTCGAGCCTTGGCAAGTGTCCAGGTGGCAAACGGGCCCCGCACCAGGTTTTGAGGGCCCCATGATATGAGGATGCGGCAAAGGAAAAGTGGCAACTTGTTTGAGACCCCTGCCCTGCTGTTAAGCACATTGATGTTTTAAGGAGGGGGCGTGGCGACCCCCTAGCCACGCAATTCGGTAACGTTCCACATATTTGGCCAACCATAGTTTACCGGCCACACCCGTAACCAATGAAATACTAAGTTTGAGAAGCAGTTTGAGGCGCCGAAGTAGCTCGTCCTGAGGAATTTGAAAGAGAGGGAAGGGGGCAGGACAATTGGAAACGTTCGAAGAGGTTTTAAAGAGGGGGACAAGACGCCCCCTGCTTAGGACACCAATACCCTTAACAGCGGGTGACGGGTCCCAACAGCTTTTAACGAAAAGGTAACATGCTTCACAATACCTGCCAAAACTTGAATGTGCCAAGCTACAAATACACGCAAGCTGCAAGCCAGCAAGGCGACAACGGAAAGCGACTGCCTTGCATGGGCGCGAGGGAAAGCAAGGCAAACCAAGGTTCAGCAAGGAAAAGCAAGGGAAAGGCCAAATCCCAAAATGCATACAATATGCAAAGAACACGCATACAAAAGGCATATATAATACATGCACCATGCATAACGTTTACCTGTTGCTCATGTGGGTGTGTGGGTGTGCAGTGTTATGCAAAAAATATGTGTTATCCCAAGTTGTCTTTTGTTGCAGGTTGGGAAGGCAGTAACGCCAGAGCCAAAAATGCGTACGACGTGCGCGCAAAAAATGCATGCCGCGCCAGAGCGAAAAATGCTAACAAACATGTGCCTTTTGCACGCATTGTGTACGCATGTTGGGTGCGTTTAAAAAACTCGAGGCCAAGTCCAACAATGCGCCCAATACGCACGCAAGCTATATACAAAAGGCATAAACAAATAAGTGCGCCATGCATGCACCTGTCTCGCAAAATACGTTCAAAATCATTCTCCACGAATACAACATGAAGTTTCAATATACACAAGGCGCAAGAATGCAGCATGCGTTATATATACCTTTTACATACGTTTCGTACGCATTTTGTATGCGTGTGGAAGGCGTCCAAATACAATATTTTTACAAAATTCAAGCAGAAGGCAGACAAAATGCATGCACCATGCATAAATACACCTGTCCTGCGTAATGCAAACAATGCAAACAAAATGCAGGGGCTCAGTCAAGTGGGGGAGGGGGTGGCTAGGGGTAGTTAGACATAACATGACAAAAGGGAGCTACCGCAGGCCTAATCTTCAACTACCAGCCAGAACGGCAAACTATCCACAAAATGCGGACCCGAGAGGGGGCTGGGCTGACCGGGTGGCAAGCCCGGCTAAAAGGGCCGGAAGGGTCTGCAGGTAGCGGAGGAAGGACAAGGCATGCCAGAGCCAACTGCATTCTGCGTGCTTTTGTATGCCTTTTGCATGCATGTTGAATGCATGTGGAAAAGATTGAAGCCAAACAAGACCGCAAACAGACGCCTGTCCTAGGCAATGTAAAGAAAATGCAAACGAAACGCAGATTGAGGGACAAAATGCATCGAATAATGCATGCAATACGCACACAAACATTGTGCATTAATTTCGCATGCCATTTGTATGTGTTGCGAATACTTTCCCAAATGCGTATGCGTAAACATGCATTAAACGCAAACAATCAGCACGTACGAAAAAAGGGAAAAGAAACAACTCACACAGAAATGCAGCACGCCTGTTGCATGCCTGCCCTGCGTAGCTCGTACAACATGCAAACAAAATGCAGCTTGAAGGCATACCAGGCGCATACAAAATGCAATCTGAAGGCAGATGCCAGAGCCAAACATGCATACAGCTAGAGCCAACAATGCATACAAAATGCACACAGTTCTGCATGCATGTCGAACGAATACTTTGCTGATGCCGTAAGGATTCCGCAAATACACTACAGAATGCTCTCCGAAATGCACGCAAAATCCAACAACTGCATGCCAAGCATGCTCAGAGAAGCAGGGCTTGGCCATGCCGTAGGACCTGCTCAAGAAACGTTGCTAGCGCAGATTCGCAGAGGCACATAGAGATGCGATTTGATACTTCTTAGCACGAGAGCAAAGAACCGTCTTGACAAAGATGTGTCACGCGACAAGGTGATAGCATCGTGTGTCTGCAGCCCGGCGGCTGCCCACAAGTGAGCCTTGAACACCAAAGTCGAAGTAACGGCGGGCGAGTCATCTCACGCATGTTCCAATCAACCGCCCCTGGACTCAAGGTTGAAAAGCTGCAGCCAAAATCCCTGTCGCCGTCAAAGCCTTGGCCCAGCTGTAAGAAATGCCCTGCGCAAGGGCTGCGTGGAAGTGGAAGCATGCGGCCCTAACTGCGGTTTGGTGGCAACATAATGATGAGTTTTACAAGGTGGCGACAAGTCCAAATAAATATATCATCTTCTTAACAGCAGCCCAGCAATTTTCCCCTTTCTACCGCACGCGAGAAGCACACCGTGGCTTCCGCCGCAAGATGCCAAAACTTTTTGCGAGAAGGCGAACGCCGAAAGCCGTGTCTGACCCCTTACTCAAAACAAAAACTGAACAAATCAGTGAAGGCATAGACTGCTGCGCGCGCGCTCTGCGACACAAAGAACGCGGACACCGCTGAGCCTTCAGGCTCATGAGCTGCCCGTGACTCATCCGGCCAACTGCGCGCGCCTCTCCCCTGCTCTTGAGCAAAGACTGTGGCGCCATCGCAGCAGTGCGCCGCAGACCTGTGGACAGACTCTTGCACCGCCCCCCCCCCCCCACATTGTCCTCCAGCGACCTCAGCACTGCAAAGCAACTGCTGGCGAGCTTTGTTGCGTTCGAAAAGATCATGATCCACACCTGTTCGGCGCAAGGCGCTTCGATTGGCCGGCCCTCACGCGCCCCCTGCTCCGCCGGCCTCGCTGCAATCAGCACGGCCAAGTGTTTGCAGCCCTCTCAATGCCCAGCCCATTCGCCGTGAGTGGAGTCCTATTACGTTCAAATCTGTCTCCAGGACCAGGCCGGCGTTTAGTCGCCGAAAACGGCACCGACGCGAGGGAATGTCGCAGTCACCGTCTTGCACTCGCGCAGCAACGCCCTACAAACATGTCCCTTCGCCCAAGCCAGCTCCCAGGCCCCCAGGCCCCATTGGTCGATTCGCAACTGCAGGAGCACTTGCGCTTCACCTCCGCCGCCCGGTCACTGATCCATGCCACGATCCACGCGGAGCCGAGGGCGCGCAGCAGACCGCGGCCCTTAATAGTTCCGACAAGTGATTACGTGAAATCTCATGACTCCGAGCTTGCGCTCGGAACCAAGGCGCGTGGTGCGGGCAATCTCTACGGTCTGAGCCTGCTCCAACGTCAAGCCATACCTTGCCATCGACTGACTCTGCCCCGCCAATGCGGCTGCAGCTAAGTCCTTTCTTGGTTGCCAGCTCTTCAAAAAGTAGCCGATGCAGTCGCGCACGGATACCTCGGCCCAGGCAAGCGGCGCATCTCAAGTTAGACTGCAATCAGCTTGCGAGCTTTCAGCTAGGACCGCTCACCATCAGGGAAGGTGAAGTGGTGCTGGATGACGTGAACGGCGGCCTCTCAACAATCAGGGACATCCCTTGAAAGCAAACGATGACGGGTCAAATCTGCCGGCCCCGCATCTACCACGAGTGGAGAGAGCTGTGGCCTGGTGAACTTCAGCGTGAAAGTTATGCTGCGAACTAGCTTGGGCTGATACATCAAAGGGGTCAACCAAACACAAAGCAAAGTTTTTTTGGGAACAAACCCATCACAATTCTCTTGCGCTTGTGACTTCACACGACACGACATGACTCCCACTAATACATTTGCTCGCTAGTGTGTGTGTGTGCTGTGAGAACTGCATTGCAAACAAACGTCTCGCCCTCTCTCTCTCTCTCTATAAAATCGCTTTTGACTGGGGCTCTCGTTCTCAAAGCCGCCAGCGCCACTTTTCCGTGTAGAGCACCGTGGCGTTGGAGGGGCTGACTGAGCGGCAAGGTGACGACAACCACGAGCCAGCTGATGAACTCAGGCTATCTGAAAACATTTGCATAGATTTACAGCATCTACGGCAAGCACATTCCGCGAAGCTGGTTCTCTACATGAAGGTGCCCCAAAAATGTAGGATACCCCAGCGTGACCGCTGCCGAGCCGTCAGTTTTTGCAGGGCCAAGTGGCCTCCACAGGCACCCTGCCCTTTTGCCTGCTTGCCATTTGAGTTCGTTTGGCCCTTTTCGTACCAGCTTCTAAGCCGACACTAAACCAGTGAGCTTTCCTCTTGACCCCAACTCGAGCCCTGTTTGGGCCGCCCGCCCCCAATCCTCTCCTTTCAGAAGGCACAAGCAGCAGAACCCGAAACTGATTTCTTTGTGTGAAATTGGTTTCTGTGAGCTTCTTGGACCTGTGAAGAAAGTGTACTTTGCGCAAACGCAAACAGCTCCCTTCCACACCAAAACAATTTTGAAAGGTGAGAAGAAAGTGCACTTTCTGCCACGACACAAACTTCTCCCTTCCGCAAAAAACCACCTCATTAGAAACATTTCGTGTTTGAAGCGAAGGGGCGGCGATTGATATTCAAATGCGACAAGTGGGGTCGGCACTTTGGCAACCTGAGGCGCAGAATTGGTGGCCGGTGCAGGACTAGATTTCCATGGGTGACAGGCGCAGCACTTTGGAGCGAGTCGTGCGGTTTGCGATTTCGTGGCAAGCGCCTCATTTCGCACCCTGCAGGTGCGGATTTGGCAGTCAAAGCACTTTCGCAAGGTAGAGTACAGATTGCGTGGCAGGCGCAGCACCTTAGGCCAAACGGAAAGAGAGAGAGAGAGAGAGAGAGAGAGAGAGAGAGAGAGAGAGAGAGAGAGAGAGAGAGAGAGAGAGCGAGATAGGGAAAAGAGAAGGACAAAGAAATACAGAAAGAAAGAAGAAAAGAATGACAGCCAAAGAAAGAAAAAGCAAGAAAGAAAGCAAGAGACAAAGAAAGAAAGAAAGAAAGAAAGAAAGAAAGAAAGAAAGAAGGAAGGAAGGAAAGAAGGAAAGAAGGAAAGAAGGAAAGAAGGAAAGAAGGAAAGAAGGAAAGAAGGAAAGAAGGAAAGAAGGAAAGAAGGAAAGAAGGAAGGAAGGAAAGAAGGAAAGAAAGAAAGAAAGAAAGAAAGAAAGAAAGAAAGAAAGAAAGAAAGAAAGAAAGAATCAAAGAAAGATCAAGAAGATGCGCAGGGGGACGCTTTTCTGCTCTTCCCATAGGCACGTGTTCTTTCCAGAAACTTCTGCTATCAAGCCCTGCTGGAGCATACCTCGTAGGGGGATGGATTCTTCTTGTCGCTATCTTTCCTGTTCATCTTTCTGCCCTTCCTCATCCGTCCGAATCTGTACCAAGGCGCGCCCGATCCTGCCACGAAGGTCTGTGAGTGACCTCACTAAAAAAAGCTGCGCTTGCCACGAACTCAGTACCAGAACTTGCGAAAGCGCCAATAACGCGCCTTCCACGAAATCTGCACTTGACCTGGCAGATGGTGCGCCTGCCAGAAAATCTGCACCTGCCTGCGCCTGAGCGCGTGACCGTGCGAAAGCGCCGCGCCTGCTTTGCAAACTTGTGACAAGCGACACGTCGGCGACACCGGGCCCCTCTCCAAACGCACTCGGAGACTGTGCGGGGGTGCTCCGCGCTCGCTCCGACCAGGCGTCGGCTCAGGCTACCTTTCGAGCATCTGCAGCCCACTGAGGGCCACAGCGGGCTGCACTTTTGCAATACTTCTACTCCACACGCGCACACATCTTTTGCGCGCCTACGCTCTAGCAAGCCTTCAGTTTGTTGGCGCGCCACAGAAGTTATTTTTAAACCTTTTTTGACGACGACTTCCATCATCTGCCGCTTGAACATCGCGCAACATGGGTTGCTATTTCTGCTTTGCGCTAAGTAGCAGCTCCGTGCAGCAGATCTAGCATATAGGGAACACGTGATGACGGAATGTTCCCGTCTGGCAGGCGTTGCATTACAAATGTTTCCTGCAATTTCGGGGCACGCCTGAGCTTTGTTTTAAAGGCCGGCCGCCAGCCCATGGAGGGATCCTTGTTTTCGGGGCACACCCAAAAACGGCTAGAGCAAACACACTTTTGGCATGAAACACCAACCTCTTCTGGAAAATCTCAACTAAGGCGTCATTTCGAAGCTACTTCATTTCTATCAATCACACTCAAATGACTCAAGCAACTCGAAACACACATTAGTCCATTCTTGCGTGCTTTGCGCTAAGTCCACATAGTCACTATCAGAGTGGGGAGTTGGCAAACGCTGACCCGTTCTGGGTTCTCCTTGACACTCACAAAAACACACGAGACACCCGTTTGAACAGGTCCAGGAAACGGGAACCCCGTTGCTTGGCAACCAAAAGCCCGTGGCTTCAGCCTGTTTTCCGACCAAAACAAAGCAGCTTTTCATGTTGCGGCGCATTGAGAGCCGCGCCCCCAGGCTTGCGCCCGGTGTTGCCAAAGCTGATGGGCTCCGGCGCTCCCCCAGGCTGGCTGGAAGGGTTCTGGGGGACCTGAGCGACCGTACTTGGATTTCCCGCTAGGAGGCCAGGGTTTCGGCTATGACGTTTAGGACAGCTTTGGCTAGGGCATTGGTAGGATCGATCAAATCCGAGCAAAAAAACCTGCATGAAAAAACACTGAAAGCAAAAAGCGCCCGGCCAGCAGAGCCCACAAGTTTTAAGACTACCACCCTCCGTAGGTCTGCAGTCCTGCCCCCTTCTTGTTCTTCTTACATGGCCATGTTGAGTCCTGTGTCTGCACCTATCTTCATCAGACCTGCTCACAGTAAGCGCAGCACGTTCACGATGAAGTTGTTGTCCTGCGCAGGATGCGCTGATGCATAATGACCGCCTGCGATTTCCACTCAGTCGTGCAAGTGAATCGCGCTAGCAAATGTCCACAAAGTTTTCGGCGCGTCGACGCGCAAGTGACTAGGTCGTGGCAACACCAAGGCAACGGCCTACACAGCCAGTCAAATGCATATTTAACCTACGGTGGGTTGGAGAGCTCCTTGGTAAGTTGCGGAGGCCTTGGACAATTCCCGCTTTGATTCTGACTGGAACCTCATTTTGGAGCTTCTACGTTCAGGTTGTTGAACGCGTGACGCGAGGGCGGTCGCAAAGTTCGGTTGACAGCTGCCTGTCACTTGGTGTTTTCGCAAGCCGTCGCGGCATCCAGTTGCAGTCAAAGAGCCAGCAGACGCGCGTGGATGAGAAACGACACACACGCGCAGCTTTGTTTGTGTAGCCCCTTGTGTGATAACCTACAAACCGATAGCTCACATGAGCATTGTCCAGGGCGAGGCTTCGTGGCAAGACTCTGGCATCGGGGGGTGGCTTCGCCGGGCTTCGCGGATGTTTGTTCCACAAACACGTCTGCCGCACGCTCTCCCAGGACGCTCCGAGTCCCAAGCTGCCTTTGCTTTTTGAGCTAAGATGTCCTCGGCCACTTGCGCTCGTTGGCCCCCGTAAAGCCGTGAAAACTCGGCCGCACGGCCGTGATAACTCGCGTGGGAAACTGAACACTACTCCGCGAAAAAGCCGTGAAAACTCGCGAGCATCACGCTCGGAGTTATCTTGTCCTCACGACACTACAAGCCTTCTTAGCTCATACGGCCTAAGTAACTCGCGACTCGGAGCCTCCTGGTCATTTAGTTGAACTAAGCCTATGCGAAAGGGGGCGATGAAAAGCGGCAAATGAGACATGGGGCTTCAGAACAGTGCTTCGCCGGGTAGTCTTCCTGTCGTCTTCCCCAAGTCTTCCAGTAATCGTCGCCGTATTCTTCCAGCAGCCTTCTGAAGGGGACTCTGAGCATCAAGCTTTGGCACGCTACTGCCGTGAAAGAGCATAACGCGCTATAGCGTGCGTTCGCCTGCCTCAGTGTTACCGTGTTGCGCAAATGTGGCACACAAGTGCCCTCGCGGACCAACTATAGCGGGAGACCCCCGAAGCCAAAATCCATCCTCCAAATGCGGGGGCTCTCCCTAAGAAAAAGTTCCGCTCGCATCATTGGAGCTTCCTTTGTTGTCCTTGCACGGCTTAGGTACTGAGTAGAGCACACAACTAAGCAGCACACGTTGGAACGGAATACCCCAACGGGCGCGTCGCAACATCTAGGCTGACCAGAGCAACAGCCTTGTGCTATGGCCTTGACTGCCACACTAACCACTGCGCTTCAAAAATTGGAGGACTGTGTCCGAGCTTTGGGTGTCTTGGTCGGATTCCTGTTCAGCTGTCTACGCATCCTGAAATTTTCACAACGCGTGTCAGACTGTCTGCCCAATGTTCCATTTCAAACTCCCGCCCGGAACTAGACCCCTGCAAGGACCGTGACGAGCTTGCTTGCGACTCCCTCTGATCGCCTGCACCTCTTCGGGTGCGGCGGCCACCTCCGGGCTGCGCAACCTGGGCATCAGGGCAAAGCGCGCGCCGTCCTTGCTGGTCCCTTCCACCTTGTTCTTTCCGCGCGTCGTTCGTGATTCGTGGACCCTTGCAAGCCTCATTCTTGTCGGGACTGTGCGCCTAGGGTTCTGCTTCATTCTCACTGGTCGTTTCTGGGCCAGCGCGCATGCCATTCTTACTGGAGCTTTGCGTGTGTATTTGTTTCGGACCTCGGCAAACTCCACCCTGCTCCAGGATTGCCAGCAACATTCTGATTGGATGGTTAGAGTCAGAAGTGATCGTTTCTTCGAGCCTTAAAGCTGTTCTTATCCAAGCCTTGCCAAGCCCCTCTGAATGGACATTGCGCACGCCATCTTTATTGGTTGCATATCAAACTCTGCTTGGGGCTTTGCCAATGTCACTCTTCTCAACCTTTGCGCATCTCATTCTTGGACCTTTCCAATTAGGATTCTGCATCATTCTCATTGGTCATTTGTAGACCCGCGCACATGTCTTTCTTACTGGAGCTTTGCGTGCGCATTTGTTTTGGACCTTGGCGTGCCCACCCTTCTCCCAGATTGCCAGCGTCATTCTGATTGCACGGCTAAAGTCACGTCGTGATAAGCCTTTTGCAAAAGTTGTTCTTGAAAAAACCGCCTCACCCTGTGTTTGTTTTCATAGTCATTGAACCCATTGAACCCCATTTAGCACAAGGGCCTTTCATTTGTCATCGCAGCATTGACAGATAGACATTCATGGGTCGACACATCCAGCTGGTGTACATCACAAACATCATGCTGAATTGGTCCAGGGCCACACAAGCACCGTTGCCGCAGGCCGAACAGCCGGCATCATTAAAGAGACCCTCAATTTGTCGATGACAGGACCTCTCCTCAAGCACAAGGAAGTCCAACGAGTTGCTTCAAGACCCCTCCGAAGGAGCCAACTGTTTCAAGAACACGCTGAAGAAATACTTTCTGCAGGGCAAGGCCAACGTGTATCTGTACAGGCTCAGTTTCTTCAATCATTGACGGCAGAACCCGGAGTTCCGCAAATCCACATCCAAATTTGACATCCTTCTAAGGAGATTGAAGGCTGACCTGATGCCCGTTTACACGGCATAGTCACCAGATTTTTTGCATCAGTTCAAGATGCGAACCAAAGAAGGATTATTTAGCCGCCGGTGCCAGGGCACCGCCTCCAGGTTTCCATGCCTTGGATCATGTCGAAGACATCCGGAAAACGATCTGCTCATTCTCTCAATTCACCAGAGGATGAGATCTGTGATCTGTTTCGCCTTGGATGGATCCATGCGGAAGTATTGGCAAACCTGTTCGACATTCTGGGGCTGTAGCGGGGCCGGTAGCGGGGCTCCCCCGCCGCGGTAGCGGGGCCCACCCGCGACGCGTTTTATCACGAAAGGAACGCAATGGCCAGATCTATAGAGTCGGGTTGCATCCTCGCTGGGGAAAAATTGAAAACCCGCTTGGACGAGTTCAATTGCTTTTCACCGGCATCCTCGCCAGCCTGGGCCAGTTTTTTGCAGCGGCAGCCTCGCCAGATAAACACCTGCCTGGGGCAATTATTTTTCTCCTGGGCCAGTTATCATTGCTTTCACCGGCATCCTCGCCGGGATAAGCACCTGCCTGGGCCAGTTTTTGCAGCGGCATCCTCGCCGGATAAGCACCTGCCTGGGGCAATGAGTTTTCTCCCGGGCCAGTTATCATTCCTTTCAGCGGCAACCGCACTGGGATAAACACCTGCCTGGGCCAGTCATTTTTCACCGGCGTCCTGGCATTGGGCATCAGCACGTTCAATGAAGGGGCTTGAGAAACTCTCCTCCCGGCAATCACTGAACTCAGGTCACAGTTTCACGTCGGACTTTAAGCGTCTAATAAGAATGAAGCTGGCAACCTTGGAGAAGGGTGGGATTTGCCAAGGTCCAAAACAAATGCACACGCAAAACCCCAGTATAACATGCTATGTGCGCTGGTCCAGAAATGAGTTGCAAAGGCCCAACAAGAATGAGGCTTGCAAAAGTCCACGAATGACATGCGGAAAGGTCGGGCGCAATGACATGGGCAAGGCTTCAAGCAGAATGTGATTTGCAACCAGTGAGGATGGCATGTGCAATCCCCATCCCCTTTTCAGAGGGACCTGGCAAGGCTTTGAAGAGAACCACATTTGCAAAACTCCCGAAAAAGCTATCACGTTTGACTACATGCGCCTAAAAAGAATGACGCGGGCAATCTCGGAGAAGGGTGGGCCGCAAAAACTTCACTAAGAAGGACATGTGCGCTGCTCTAGAAATGAGTAGATTACGAAAGGTCAGAGTGTGACGGAGAACCCAAATTGCAAAGGCCCAACAAGAACGAGGCTTGCAAAGGTCCGGGACTGAATTGGCAAAGCGTCGAGCAAAATGTGATACGCAACCAAAAAGGATGGCGTGCGCAATGGCCATTTGAAGGGATCTGGCAAGGCTTAGACACCGAGAACTTTTCGAAGAAGATATCACGTCTGACTACATGCGTCTAAAAAGAGTGACGCTGGGAATCTTGGAGAAGGGTGGGGTTTGCGAGGCTGGCAAAGGTTGAGAATAATAATGTCGGCAACGCTTCAAGCAGAGTCGCATTTGCATCCAATGCCCATCGCCCATCGCCTTGTCAGAGGGACTTGGCAAGGCTTTGACAAGAACAACTTTTGCAACAGGCCCGAAGAAATTATCACGTAAGACTTAAGCGTCCAATTAAGCATGGGGCTGGCAATCTCGGAGAAGGGTGGAATTTGCCAAGGCCCACAACAAACACACTCGCAAAGCTCCAGTGAGAAGGACATGCGCGCTGGTCCAGAACTGACGATGGCGCAAAGGACCAAGGAGAGTGACGCAAAATGTGAGTTGCAAAGGCCCAGAAAGAGCGAGGCTTGCAAAGACCTAAGATATGCAACCGATATGGATGGCATGTGCAATGTCCGTTCAGAGAGATTGCGCAAGGCTTTGATAAGAACAACTTTCGCGCAAGGCCCGAAAAATCATCACGTCTGACTTTAAGCGTCTAATCAGAATGATGCTGGCAATCTCGGAGAAGGGTGGGGGCTTGCCAAGGTCCAAAAACAAACACGCGCAAAACCCCGTTCAAGAACGACATGCGCGCTGGTGCAGAACCGATTAGGCTGCCCAAAGGACCAATGACAATGACGCAGAATCCTGATTGCAAACGCCCAGCCAAAATGAGGCTTGCAAAGATCCAAGAATGACACGCACAAGGGTTGAGAATCATGTGGGATAGTTTCAAGCAAAATTTGATACGCCGCCAATAAAGATGGCATGTGCAATGTTCCTTCAGAGGGACTTCGAAAGGCTTTGATGAGAACATTCTTTGCAAAAGGCCCGGCGAAATTATCACGATTGACTCTAAGCGTCTAGGAAGAATGCCGCTGGCAATCTTGGAGACGGGTGGGATTTGCCAAGGTCCAAGACACACAGACAGACAGACACAGAAACAGACACAGACACACAGACACACACACACACAGACACACGCCCAAACACACACGCAAACGCACAAGCACACAAAACACACACAAACACACAGACACAACACACACGCAAACACACACACACACACATGCGCACACAAAACACACAAACACACGCAAACACACAAGCACACAAAACACACACAAACACAGACACAACACACACGCAAACACACACACACATGCGCACACAAAACACACAAACAGACACAAACACACAAACACACAAACACACACAAACACAAACACAAACACAAACACAAACACAAACACAAAGACAAAGCCAAAGCCAAAGACCAAGACGAAGACGAAGACGAAGACGAAGACGAAGACGAAGACAAAGACAACGACAAAGACAAAGACAAAGACAAAGACAAAGACAAAGACAAACACAAAGACAAAGACAAAGACAAAGACAAAGACACACAAACACAAACACAAACACAAACACAAACGCAAACGCAAACGCAAACGCAAACGCAAACGCAAACGCAAACGCACGCACGCACGCACCCACGCACGCGCGCACCCACGCACCCACGCACCCGCGCACCCACGCACCCACCCACCTACCCATACACATACACACACACACCCACCCACGCACGCACGCACGCACGTACACACACACACAAAACACACGCAAACACACGCAAGCGCACAAGCACACACAAAGCACACAAACACAAACACACACACACACACAAACACACGCGCACACACACAAACAAGCACACACACACACAACCACACATAAACACACACACACACCAAAAACAAACACGCACACAAACACAGACACAGACGCCCAGACACACAGAGACACAGAAACACAGACACACAGACACACAGACACACACACCCACACACAGACACACACACAGACACACACGAACACCCGCCGACGCGCACACTCGCGCAAGCGCACACGCGCACACGCGCACGCGCACGCGCGCACGCGCGCACACGCAAAGACGCAAAGACGCACACTTACACGCACACGCGCACACGCGCACGCACACGCACATGCTCACACGCACACGCGCGCGCACACCCACACCCACACACCCACACGCACACACACCCACACACCCACACACCCACACACCCACACACCCACACACCCACACACCCACACACCCACACACCCACACCCGCACACACACACACCCACGCACACAACACACACACACCCACGCACACACACACACACACACACCCACGTGCGCACAGACACACAGACACACAGAGAGACACCCACGCACACACACCCACACACACCCACACACCCACACACACCCACACACACCCACACACACACCCACACACACCCACACACCCACACACACCCACACACACACCCACACACACCCACACACGCACCCACACACACACCCACACACACCCACACACACACACCCACACACACATCCACCCACCCACGCACGCACGCACGTACGCCGAAATGGCCGGATTGCGCAAAGGAG